ACAACTTCTGCAAGAGGGTCTTCGATGACCTGCCCGCCACACCGCAGCGTCTGGTGGAGATCAGCAGGGCACAACAGGCAGATGAACTCCTCCAGCGCGTGGTTCAGCAGACTCTCTCTGGCTGGAAGGAGGGAGCAAAGCACCCCGACATGCTGGACTACTTCGCCGCGCGTGGAGAAATCAGCGTTCTCTACCTGACAAGCGGCACACTGCTGATGTACGGCCGCCGCATCATCATACCGCCTAGTCTGCGTGAAGAGATGCTCAACCGTCTACATAACGACGGTCACTTCGGGCTCAACAAGTGCCGCCAGCGAGCAGCAGAATCCGTCTGGTGGCCCAAGATCAGCATCGACTTGAAGCGCCACGTCGAGCACTGCGCGTTCTGCCAAGTGCACGCGCCCTCCCAGCACGCTGAGCCACTGGTAACGACTCCAACGCCGTCAAGACCGTGGACTCACATCGCAGCAGATATTTTCCACTTCAACAACAGCAACTGGCTCGTGACTGTGGACCTCTTCAGCAGGTATCTAGAAATTCAACGCTTGCCCAACCTCACAAGCACCGCAGTCATCGAGCGGCTGAAGCGCCTGTTCTCCAGACTGGGGATACCGGATCTGATGACAACAGACGGAGGAACGCAGTTCACTTCCAGCTCATTCGCCGACTTCGCAGCGTCGTACGGCTTCACACATCGCGTCACTGACCCGCACACGCCATCATCCAACGGAGCAGCTGAACGGGCCGTGAGGACCGCAAAGTGGATACTTCGCCAAAAAGATCCTCACCTCGCTCTCCTAAACTACCGAACAACGGCTGTGGAAGCCACTGGATACTCCCCAGCCCGGCTTCTGATGGGACGTGAGCTTCAGTCCCGTCTCCCCGTCGCTCAGCAGCCCGCCAAGAAGGCATGGCGGCACGCCAAACTTCGCGATGGGCGGAGAAAGAAGAAACAGGAGTCAACCGTCAATCAGAGGCGAGGCGCCCGCAACCTGCCTCCGCTGCAGCCCGGCGCCAGAGTCCGGATCAAGACAGAAAGGGGCAGCTGGTCGGAGCCCGCCATCGTCACACAAAGGCTCTCCAGACGCAGCTATCTGGTGGAGCTGGGCGGCTGCCAATATCGCCGCAACCGACGGCACCTGCTGCTGATCCCTCCTGTTCCGTTACAGGTCCCGGCACAGCACGGAACCGGGCAACGGGCAGCACCAGTGCCACCTCCGGTGGTGCCGCCGACATCCGTGGCAGCACCACGCCCGGTGGTGCCGCCACCACCACCACAGCAGCTTCCGCCAGCTGCGCCGTCACCTGAGCCGGCGACGTCTCCGCTGGCACCCGCTCCGCCATCAGTGCAGCCCGCTGACGACCCTGTACACGTTAGCCCTCGTAAAACTCGCAGCGGTCGGATTTTCGGGGTTTAAGAAAACCAGCTTTGTGCCTGGAGTACAGCTTAGCTTTCTATAGGAGATCTTATTAGCACACGCGTAAGAGGGGGAGATGTATCGTGGTGGCTGCTGTGGTCACACCCCGCTCTACAGCCTAGAGCCGCCGCTGAGCCGGCGCCGGTATCGTATGCAGTCTGGGCTGTGGCCGCCCGGGCCACCGCCGCCCCGCTCGCTGAATACAGTTCTCGGCTGGTACTGGTGGCGTCTGCACCCTGGGGTTCGTAAGCCATAAGCAAGCACACAAACAGGAACATAATTTTTCACCAAGTTCGAAATTTTTTAGGGTAAAACCAATGCCACAGCTGGAATCAGTGACGTCGAAAACCATCGGATCACCATTCGAAATATCAAATATCGCCGTATTTATATGCTTGGTCATTAATGGGTTAACTATTGACTACAAGTTCCAACAAAGACAGTGAGTAGACACATGTTAAGTTGAATTGGCCGACTGCCAAAACGATAGCTGATAATCCAGAACCTGTTTGCAGCAAATATGAACGGAAACAGTGATCAACTTGAAATGAGCAGGACCATCTACCAGACAGCGGCAAAATGTTGCGACCGGCAGGCGCGGCGGCTGGCTCAGGCTTGGCTCAAGCCCAGCACTGCGGGCGAACTCGCTCAGAGGTGGCGTCATCTGTGATTCGGAAGTTTCACCTATGGCCACCAGAGGGCAGGGCGGTCGCACAAACTGGCTAAGAACGTAGGTGGCGGGCGTAGGCCAGGAAATCAACAGCCATGTTGCGAATCAGCGCAAGTGCTAGTGTGTATCTTTCAAATACCGGGTACGGCTCTATATATCTCCGATAATGTCATAAAACCATAAGGTAACGGAGCAGAACAAACGAACGAGACGTCGCGTGATATCAACTTGCACCGTCATATATTCTGAACCAACGTTGTCAGGATCGAACGTCGCAACCTGGGGTCCGAAACAGGACTTTTCGTTGCATTTCGCACCGTCTATGTGCACCAAGAAGGCAAGAGGAAACACAACAAACCATAGGTAACGGAAGCGATAGCGGCCTTACTGACATCTGGACTCGTAAATCAGAAACGCTTACGGAAAAGGTGTGAAATAGGCAGCTTTGCAATAAAAAAGACGCATATCATTCCCCAGTGACAGTGCAGACTGCGAGAACGCTGGCGTCCCAAAGGAGCTTACCAAGAGGCCTGCTGAGCTGCCGATAAGTTATCCCGAACAATCAGGCGATATCACTTCGCTGAAATGATTTACCGGACTAAACAGCTATCAGCATTAGTCTGATACCGTGGCTCTACGGTGGCTCATCAAGAAGCTCGGGAGCACTGATCAAGTGTCGACTAGGGCAGGCGATAAATGCCTACTGAGTGAAGGTCGTCCCTGACTTCTGAGTCAGATAATTGCAATGCCTCAGCACTCCGTGCACCTACAGGCACCGCGATTAGATCCTCGCAGGCTGGCTGCAGCTTCATGTGGATTTATAAAATCACCGACAGGAAAACTCAGCCTCTGAAACAGTTTGTGATAACCAACAACAACATACAACGGCTGACCGGAAGAAGAAACGGGGAAGCACGTAACGAACTAAAAGGAAAACATTAAAATCAGTTAGAGCGGCAACCGTCAAACATGTTACGGAAACCGTCGGAGACAGAACGGAGAACAAAGCTACAAAAGGAATGACGCAATCAGAGCATTGTGAGACTAACTATTCGGAGCGAACCGGAAGCAGCGACAGTCACTGAATTCCGGCGACATTGTTCCCCAATTACGCCGAATCGAACCACCCCTCCACACCTCTACCAAGGGCCGCCCAGGCCCCACCCTCTCCCCCTTGATTCACCCAGACTCCTGGACGTGTTGAGCCGACAGCGCCGCCTGGCAAACATTCCCGGAAACTGACCGGACCTACACTGCCTTATACGGACAGTGCCCGGCCCGGCCCCGTCAGCTGAGCCATCTCCGACTCAGGTTACACGCTTGTGACGTCACACGCCGGCTCACGGGAGCACAGAGTCTGAGGAACGTCACTCACCAAAGCTGCACTGAGTCGGCGGTCGGCCGAATGTCTGAGATGTGCTGCGAGCCACGATCAGGTGAGTTCGAGGGCCAGGAGAGCCGAGGAGGGTGATTCAGAGGCGAGCGCTCGGTCGAACAGGGTGACCCGGAGGCCGGCATTGGGTCGAACAAGGATGAGTCATGACTCATGCACCACGTGCAGGTAATGATCGTAGCCGAGACTGAACGAGGCCGTGTCTGAAGACGCTATGTTCAGATTTATAGTGCGAGACAATGGGCTAGCCGCAGTGAGGTAGAACCCAAAGTGAGCCTTGAGCAAGAAGTCGGAGTCACCATCCAAAGATAGCTGTGGCGAGCGATAACAAAAGGAAGGACTTATCGCTGAGTCCGGGGCTATCGCTGCGTCATAGGGCAGCCACAGTGACCCGATGCTTCAGGGAAAATGAACCGTGCCAAGCAGCTTCGGGGAAGGGACGACGCGGGGGCATTGAAAACAGACCACACCTCACCGGGAGAGAACAAACGGAACTGGCTGCGGTGTAGCGTCAGACGAGACCGCGAGATCGGGCTATGGGGCTCACAAATCGGCTCACATGCGGCATTCCAGACTGGATTCAGTCCGAAGCGCATTGTTGGCTTTAAACCCAGACGATGCCGTAATTTGAAACCGCCTCACGATTCAGGTCATCATTTGTCATGGACTGACTGGCAACAGTGGGAAAAACCGTGACTGGCAGCCGCCCAGTGGTGAGTTGGCGTAACAGCTCAACAGTAACCGCTACCCACACCCCGCGACCCCGCCCTGTCCAGCAGCTCCGGACCCTCCGCCCTGTCCAGCAGCTCCGGACCCTCCGCCCTGTCGACGCCCCGGCTCGGCCACCGTCCCCGTCCCCCTCCTACACCGGCCGCGGCCGAGCAAATCGGCCGGGCCGCCGCCCCTCCAGATAGCCTCCGATGTGCCTCAGACCGGTTCCCCGGCCGAGCTCTGCACGCGGGGTTGCGAGTCGCTACCCAGAGCGAGCACCGGCGCGAATTCCGCCCAATCCGACAACAGCCGCTAATCTCGGCCGGTACAGACCTGACCGCACCGCTCCAATACGTCCGCTGAGGCGCTAGCGTATTCGGTGTGTCGCAAGGCCAGGGCTGCGGCCAGCGAGCGAGCGGCGGGAAACTGGCACCGTGTCGGAAATGTGGCCCGGACGATCACACGGTCGCCGACAGCGGCCATTTACCTGGATTGGTGAGCGCCGAATGAAGCAAGCGAACGGTAAGGCAGAGTTACGGTCGGCGCTGAATCAGTCATACAGACGAGAGTTGTGTCTACCTAGAGTCAAGTGGAGTGGAAGCTAAGCATGCCCTCGGCTTGTCAAGGGCAAATGGGACGATGCTTCAGACTGGAAATAAATAATGCTTCGGCAAGGAGCGCTGAGAAGCGCTGACAGTGTGTTTGCCCACTGAATCATACATCACTGCGTCATTGATGAATAGGTGGGAGCGATATTCTCCGTCTCCCTTCTTATGCAACGTTGAAAAACAAATCACCGCAGGTAAAATCCACAGAATGTTATGTATTAAAAACGGAATAGTGATCAGTAACACACGCCGTCGCACGGAATAATATGGCGAGGGCGATAGCGACGGCGGCGGCGGCGAAGCGACACTTTAAACCGAACGTCTGGGACGGGTGTGGCGGCCGCGCGGCCCGCTGCGTTGGCACGGGTTGGGCAGCCGCACGGCGCGCTGAAAGGCAAGGCAGCGGTGGCGTCGGCCTGTTCCCTCACCAGAGAGGCGTCGAGAAGCCGCCGGGCGGCTGGCGGCGCGGCTTGGGCGGCTCGGCGGCCGGCGGCGGCGCCGGCGCGGCCGCCGGGTCCGGCTCTCCGGCGCCCTCCTCCACGGCCGGCGCCCCCTCGCCGTTCTGCTCCTGCTTCTCGCCGTTCTGCTCCTGCTGCTCGCCGTTCTGTTCCTTCTCCTGCTCCTCAGCCTCTGAGGACAGCCGGAGAGCGGCCGTCAGTCGCCGGACGGACGGGGAGGGGACAGGAAGGACCGCGCCGCCGGAAGCAGCGGACGTCGTCTCCGCGGACAGGGTCAAGGACAGCCGGCGCGGCCGTCTCCCTGAGCCCACAGCCGGCAGTGACCGCCTCCTAATACGGCCGGCGGAGGGCGGGCGCGGCCAACACATATGGACAGCGCCGTCTACACCGTCAAAACAGCGGATCACGGCCACAGACCGGTCAGAGGGGGCAGTATGAACACAGCCTTACGAACCAGACAAAAAGGAAACTTCTGAAACTTCTGTGTGAAAACAGCGTAAAATGATGATGCCCCAATGATGCCCCGTACTCATAAGAGCCAAAAATAGTTACGACATGGCCAGCGAACGAAAACATGTTACGCAATCAGTTACATGATCACCTATCGCTCACACATCATTTATTATCAATGCTGTTCCTACATCACCAATCTCACCACTACATACACCTTACCCAAACAATCAACCCAAACCATACATCAGCCGCGGCCACCCACCCATCTATCACAGTGGCGGGCCATATGTGGGTCGGCCGGTCTGCCGGCGCGGGGCACCTGTGTACCGGTCGGCAGCCTTACCGGGCTGTGCGGCGGCGGCGGGCGGGGCCGACGGGGCCGGCTCGTCGCCCAGCACCAGCGTCGACGCGCCCCGGTTGTTGACACGCGTCGGCGCAGGCTCCTCGTCGGGCGGGCCGAAAATGTTGGAGCTTCCGCCACCCGGGGGCTTCAGAACCCTGCGACGGGGAGGGATGGGGCAGGGGTCAGCGGGCGTCCTCAGCACGAGCGAGAGGAAGGTGGAGTAGAGGGAGGGAGGAATACAAGGTGGATGCAGGATATCATAAACCTTATGATGGGTAGCAGTAAAGGAGCTCGAAACCATTCTTTACTCTCAGTGGAAATTGCTGAACTTACGTCAGTGCTCCTATCGATTCTTCAAACGTGCGTATCATGCGTATGCGTATATTATAACTGGTGATTTTTTTTTTTTTTGGCAATGCATCGTAACTCTTGAAACTGCGACATGCATTGAAAACGAAGACGATCACGATCACACAGATTCTGAAGTCTGTCAAGGACAAGCAAAAGTTAAATTGAAAACCATCCGAGATCAATTCAGCCGAGCACAAACGATATTCATACTGAAAAAAACGCAACACATCGAAACATGTGATCCTGCCTTGTTATCCTGTAAACTGCTTTCATATAGCTCTGAACACTCCAGCTATGCTCGATAACTATACAGAATATGATCGCTGATAAGTTTTAAACGTGCGTGTGGCTAACGTTAACGCGATGCCCAACGGGTGTGAGTCTTGCGTAGAAGAAGTAAGAACAACTTGTGTATCGACTTTTCAATGTACAGACCGATTAAACACCGGGCGCAATAAGCAGAGCTTATGCGCCCGGTGTTTAATAAGCAGAGCTTATTGCGCCCGGTGCGATCTCTAACACTCGTATATAGCTTCGTGTCATCCGCGAACATCTTCATATTGCTTGAGACCTCCAGTGGCATGTCGTTGATGTATATTGTGAACAGCGTCGGCCCCAACACTGAACCTTGGGGGATACCGCTGGAGACAGGGTTGTTCTATATACCCTGAGAGACAGGTGCCCACTCCGAGCTGCAGCCCTGAATCAGCACCCGTTGACGACGGCCAACTAGGAAGGTCCTCTTTTTTACGAGCTGCCGACGACGTCCCCGTCGGCGGATGGCAACCAAATTTTGATTTGATACGATGGTTCGATCCACCTAGATATTGTGCCCTCAAAATTTTACGCCTCTACACCACGCCGATCCGGCGCTAGACACGGAAATAGCGATGACAGCTTCCGGCTGTGACCGACAACATCAAATTCATGATATAGAAGTATCTGTTCATGGCATTAGCTTTAGCCTTATTGTTATCACTTCAGAAGACACCGTTTCTCCATTCTCGTCTTCTAGGTCGCCGATGCCGTTTTTGGTCTTGAGGCGTGAATTTGCATACCGCCAGAAGCACTTCGGGTTATCTTTGATTGACAGTACCAGCTTTTGCTTATGCTGTCTCCGGAGGGCTCTGGTCATGTTCCTCAGGTCGTTTCGACACCTGACGTACCTGGCGTGATCGAGTTCATCGTGGCTTCGGCAACAAGTGCTCCACAATAGCCTTATCCTTTTCCTTAGTTGGAAGAGTACTCATGTCAGATGGAGCTCAGAAGTGTTTAGTTTAGTTTAGTTTATTGAGAGCATCATCAACGGGCATAGGAGGCCCAATTACAGATGAAGTCGAAGGTTAAAAATACACTTACATATGCTGACACACAGATAAATACACTTATAAAAAATTGAATTAAATGAATTAAGTGAATTAAATGTTTGTACTTTAACTTGTGACTGATGCCTCTGCTCCCTCTGAATGTTCCTATGCTCCGCAAAGCTGTATGTGTTGCGCCCAGTCAACACTGAATACCAAAATTTGTGACTAGACTTGTGTTACAGAACAAATATTGGTTGGAAATTAAATTTTCAGATGAAAGCAAAATGCTGGGCATTTAAATTGCAAGGCAACACGTGTGCAGGCGAAAATTCCAATAATTTTAAGTTTGATAATCCTGGATAAAGACAGTGCCAGAGAGGTAGGTACCTACCTGCTTGAGATCCTCTCCGAGCCACCCAGACCAATAGTATTTTGAGTAGTCGTCATAATGAATGTAGTTAATACAGAATCACGCAGCAATGCCCAAGAACCAACCACCGCCGAAAATGAAATGACCGAAATGACAAAGGACCTTCGGCGGCGGCGCCGTCAAGCCTTCAAATCGCCCCTCCCTTTCACTTCAAGATGTTCACCGAATCAGTTCCACATTTGCTGACGTTTCTATGACGACAAAATTGGCCTTCAAATAAGTTACAACGATTGAAATTGAAAATCTTGAAAATCATATTTCGGTTCTAAGGTTGATATGCGATGATATAATTAATTTTAAATGCTTTAAAATAATCGACATTTTATCGGAACAGGAATTGCCCTAAAAATATTTAGATTTACGTCATTTACATTCTCAACAAACTGCTGTACCTGCGATCGCTAGCGAAAGCAGGAAAACTAAGCAGTGGCAAAAATTCAGCTGATTCTGTTTGTCGTATGTGCGCCATTGATGTCTCCAAATTATTGCCAAATAAAGCACAGGCGGGGACGCTGGAAGTATTCGTTTTTATTTTCTTTGTTTTCCTTGAGAACCGTTTCGAGATAGGTCTCTGCTACAGTCTGTGGTAAGTATAAGTTCTTTCCTTATTTTCAAAGCATAGTTTGCTTAGAAATTCGTCTTTGCATGTCTCTTTTGAAGGGATTAATAGGTACCACTTTCTTAAAATTGGTGTTTTGCTAGGTAGGTACAGTTTCAGTTTCTGACTTTTTACGCTTCAAGGAAATTTACCACTTTAAACACTGGCAGGTCTGGGGGGATATTTGGGGCAACCCCCCCCCCTGCAGTGCCCGAAATCAACGAAAATTTGTGGTTTTTGAAGAATTAAACGAAAACTAAACTTTTATTAGGAAAAGTCTGTTTAGAACTGCGCAGCAGTGTGTAAGAAACATAAATCTGATAAGTTTTTGGAATTTGGAGAAACTTTTTTAGGGGTATGCCACCCTCTAACATCCAAGATTGTCTTTCTGGATCTGCCAATGACTTTAAACATGGGGTTTTGATTTTGAATAGCATTTTTTTTTTTTAGCTTGGACTGAGACTAGCACAATTTTTCTGAATTGGGAAACCCAATGTTCACTCTAGTCAAAGGTATATTTATTTTGTTCTGAAATCATTCCCTGATGAGAAATTTCACAAAATTGCCAAGAATGCAGCCACCTGCCACAGAGGATAAATGTTCAGTAAATCAGCTTGCATTTGGTAGTGAATGGCTTATATTGCATACAAACAAGTGTACCAGAAGTCCTTTCACTGACATGTTATCTCCAACAGCTGATTTTGAATACATTTCTGATTGGTTGATTTTAACAGTATTGCTGTTGTTGCAGCTAAGGTAAATCTCATGAGTCTCCTAGAACAAAAATGCTTTCAAATTACAGCTTTGAAATCTTTGATTGCTTCCACATGTGTTTAGCAAGGTGTATAACTATTCTTGCATTGCTGGCAGTTTAGTCTGGCAAATCATGAGCTTTAATATCATGGATCAAGATCTTTCATTGAGTTACCCTTCCAATGACATATGATAAAAATATGTTATTAATATTATACTCTAAAGTCTAATTGTGTAAAATGATGTGTGTATTGGGCAGCAGAAGTGATAGTACCCCCATATACTTAAAGGTTTCAAAGTTTTCAATATTTCATCGGTTCACATGTGTGTACAATATAGACTCATCTTATAGCAATTTATGGGTCTGACTTCACATATACTTTATATCCTGTGTGGATATTGCACAAACCTGCAATTTAACAGTAGGTATATGCCTAACTAGTTGTCTGATAGGTTTAATGGTCACTTGATAGCTCACTGAAGTTTAAGCCTTTATTAAAAAAAAAAAATGGTGGTTCAAAATAACCTTGTTGTTCACTCCCCTCGATTATAATCTTAACTGTAAGAAATGTCTCTCACAAAAAGTACATCATTACCTCTCCCATAAATCATTCATTTCCTTTTCAGTCTGCCTTTCAACAATGTGGGGCATAAAATTTACTCTCGTGAGTCATATTTCAGTTATGTCTCGTGCATGACGATGAAAGATGTGTCATTTTGTACCAGTTTGACATTTACATGTCCTGATAGTACAAGTTTGACGTGTGCCGCCCCCGTTGTGCCAGGGTCGCGCCGGGCCGTGACCCCGCCGTGTGCCGCCGTCCGTGACCGGTCCGAGGGTCTGTCGGCGCCTCCCAGCCCGTTACGCGGCGTGCGTGTGACGCGTGACGCTGCCGGCAGCCGGTGTCACGGGCGTGCGTCACGCCATGTGAGTGGGCCGACGGCGACGGCGCGACACTCCCAGCTGCGGCGTCGGCGGCGCGACTGCCCCTCCTCCTCCGTCGGCCGCCGCTCGGCGCAGCACAGCTGGCACCGACGCAGGCACGCGCGCACGCACACCACCACGGCCGAGTCTGCTGAGTGCCGGCCGGAGTGTCGGGCGGACGGTCACTCACTGAGTGCCGCGAGTGACGCCAGACGTGCGGAGAGTGCCTGGCGCGAGTGACTGCAGAGTGACAGAGACCGCTGAGACTCCTGAACAAACTGCCTGCTGTCGATCTTCTGGCTCGTCACCGCCCCGTAACAGTCCGCCCCCGACAGTCATCATGTCGCGCTCCTCCGCTGCGAAGAACAAGCACGTTCCCGCAGACAAGGTGAGACTCGGAGTAACGGCTCCGGTGCCAGGGCCACAGGCGTTACGGCTGGCTGCCTCCGCTAACGCTGCTGTGGATGGGAGTGACGGTAGATGCGCCAGCTAATTACAGGTCGGCTTCCTTTGTTTGGCATTGTTGACTCAACTGTAAAGGTCGTACCCTACTATCACATATAGAGAATTTACTTAATGTTTCTTTTACTCGTATTTATTTGCTAGCTGTTAATTCGCGTGAAGCGCGCCTCGCGATATTGCTTTTCGTATATGTGTTGTCAGTAATTCTTGAAATATTTTCCTGATGTTATTGCCCTATTCACATTTCCCAGTCTCTGTGATATTCGTATTTTCAAAAAGCATCCTGATAAACTCCGTCACTGGGGTGAACGACAGTGTATTCCCATGTCGCATCGGATGTATTTGCATTCATCATTGTCCGTGCTGTTTCCACATTTTCCAGATAAAACCTAGCATATTCACATTTTTCGAAAGCTTCTTAGCTCTTACTGTATCTGCTCTTCCCACTTGCCTCCCCATATCCTCATTCCGCGGATGCACTTTCCTATGTGGCGTAATGTCGACCCGTCTGCCGACCTTCCCACCCACCAGCTGTGCCCCGCCGGGTCCCGATGCGCCCGCGGCGGCCGCACTTTGATCCGATTGGGCGGCCGTTTTTGCACCGATCGGTGTTCGCCGCCAGCACCAGCAACAGCAGTGACGGCGTCAGCGGTCCGCCCATTAGTGTAACGAGGCGGCGCCGGCCACCAGCCCCAATGATGACGTCTGCTTACCGTCCGCACCAGGCTTTGATCCGGCCGGCAGCCGACGCTTTTTATCGTCGCTTTCGACAAATGCCAGTCCGAGATTTCATATCAGAGAAGCGAGCTGGATACAGCCTGTGTCGGATGTAAGGCGAAAAATGTGTTGTATTCGCTGACATCGTAATGTCCTGCCATCCTTGCAGTGACATGTGAGAGGGTCTGAGCTTGTATACAGCTCGTGCGAGTTCGGTACCATCCGGGTAGCCGTTCCCTGGAAGCTGACATTGCCAGTTGTCTTCATATTCGGTTTTCTTCTATCTGGTTTGCATTTGCCAGGCTCCCATGACAGTGAGTGCTGAGTGCTGAATAGCCTGAAAGCGACACTGTCGCTCGACCATGTCACGACGGACAGCCGCGGCATCCATGGTCTTGTCCGCCCGCTCTGTACCTTCCCCGCTAAGGAAACTTTTCAATTCAACCGCCCGTCTGACGTTTTCCCCGTCTGTCCGTCCGTCCGTCTATCCGTCAATCTGTGTGTCCGTCATCCGTCTATCCTTCTGTCTGTCCCGTACCGTACCAGTGAGGACGATGTCATCTTTCTCACTAACGTCTGCCGCCGGCTGTTCCAGATCAACCTGCGGCTGATCCTTGTGAGCGGCCGCAGTAGGGAGTACCTATTCGACGCCGGCGACTCGGCCGGTGATATCGCCCAGTTTGTGTTCGACACGTGGCCAGAAGGTGAGTTAGAAGGGGTGAGATGGAATTGAGAAAGAGTGATGAGTGTGATAAGTGTATGCGTGTGGGGGGGGGGGGGCTTAGATGTGGAGCATGGTCTGTTTGGAGGAGAGGGACTTACTAGTTATGCTCTAAGGTCAGTTTATGAAGCTGAACTATTGTAGTTTTAGCTGTTTGCACCGATTTATGTCTGTTCTCCGTAGTAGGTACCATGTTGTTTGATACCGACTTTTATGAGAAATGCCTCCCGGCCAGCCCAGGCAGCTGCCATTACCCAGCTATTGGTTGTCGGTTGAAAGGATACTGACATCCAGGCCTTTCACTAGTCAATGCCAGTTTGTATCACGTCTCTGTTGAAGGAATCAGTATTGAACGTACTGCATATACGTTTTAATGCTATGATTATGTAAGTAAAATGCAAGTACCTGTATAACGAGGCATGCATATCTATTGGACGTCATTGCTCATCCATCACTTATCAAGTGTGACAGCGATCCATTTGTTTACGCTCGTTCCCTTTCGCATCACGCGTCTGTGGTATTCCCGACTCCGCCCCTCCTCCCCCTCGGCAATATTGCTTATTGCGTACTTCGAGTAGGCTACTTTTATTTATTCTGCGACCCTATCAGCTCTGCCCCATTGCACCGCTCTCTGACACGTGGTCGGCTCTCTGTTTCTCCTCTGACCGTCCGTCGCTGTATGTCATCTGACCGTCGCTGTATTTCCTCTGAGTCGCTGTATGTCCTCTGACCGTCGCTGTATGTCCCTTGAGTGTCGCTGTATGTCCTCTGAGTGTCCGTCGCTGTATGTCCTCTGACCGTCCGTCGCTGTATGTCCTCCGAGTCGCTGTATGTCCTCTGACCGTCGCTGTATGTCCTCTGACCGTCGCTGTATGTCCTCTGACTGTCCGTCGCTGTATGTCCTCTAAGTGTCCGTCGCTGTATGTCCTCTGACCGTCCGTCGCTGTATGTCCTCTGAGTGTCCGT